ATTTTCTTATATATGTTATTTATTTTATTTTGGCCCAATAAAATAAATAGTACACGATGTAAGTTATTATTAAATGGCGAATTATTATATATAGTAAACTTTTATTAATTTTATAACTATCTTACAGGTTTTATGAAAGTTCTTTCTAAATTGAAACGTAGATTTTACAGTTTGTAAAAAACAGTCGATAATCAGCATTATTTATAAATAAATCAGTATATTTAATGAATTTTATACTAATATAATAATTTTAAAATCATTCAAGGCTGTTTTTTAATTATTAACCAGCTAAAAGTTAATAAGAATAATTCCGAAACATAATTTAAATAATGAATGTAAAATTGCAAGATACTTGATACGCTTAAAGATATTTATTATTTATGGCATCATTTATATATTTTAATTTTGTTTATGAAAAATATGCACTTATCAATGCAACAAAATGATACATTAGATGTATATTAAAGAAGATAATGAAATGGTTTAATAATATATATTTAATATCTTTTGATTATACAGTTATTTAAAAAATAAGAAATAAGATTTGCTTAATTATAGTGATTATATACATTAATGGTTTAGATAGTGATAGATTGTAGTAAATTAACTGTATAAGTAAGAGATAGAGGATATGTTGAGAGGAGTAAAAATAGAAGAAAAAGGAAGATGGGAATCGTATCATAATTTGTTTTTGATTTGAGAATAGAAAAGATGGATCTAATCTAAAATCCAAAATAAATTCAAATTTGGTGCGTAGAGACAAACCCATGAACTAAATCATTTAAAAACCAAGTGGAAGACTCACAGTACCTTTCTCTCAAATATTCTATTCACTATTTTTTTTGCTCTCTTCTGTGTCGGCTATATATCGGCGTTTGTATCTGCATCTGCATCTGTTCCTATTCACACACAAATCGCTAGTTTTGTTCCGTTACGTTACTCATTGTCTTCGATTTTCTGATCTGCACTTTCGATCTGTTCGCTCACGCCTGATCCGGCTCTGCATCTCCGTAAGCCAATCCGATTCCGCCATTGCGATTTGATCCGCATTGGATCCGTTTGTTTCTGCGCAATTTTGCGTGTGTGACTGTTTCCTCTGATTTTGATTTTGATTTTTGACGTTAATGTTGCAGGGAGCACAATGACGGAGGAGCAGGTTGTGAATGTGAGCGGCGAAGAAGGCAATTCGGGCGACGATCACCGCGGCGTAAATGTCAAGGGAGTTGCACACACTGTGGATGGCGATGTGGATCTCGCCTCCGGTGGAGCTTCGTCGGAGGAATTGGCGGTGAAAAATTGCAAGGATGCAGAGGCTAACGGTACGGCGGAGGAAGCTTCTGAAAAGGACGGTGAATTGAAACGTGTATGCAGTGAAGGCGGCGCAGGATCCGTTCGGAACGGTGTCGTGGAGAATGAGACTCGAGCTGCTGCTGCGGATGAGCTAGTTGCGGATCACGAGGAATATGTTGTTGTCGGTGCCTCGGATGTTCAAAACAGTGCCGCTGCGGAGGGCGAGATTGTCGGTGATGCGAATGGGAACGTGAATGAAGTTGAGGAATGTGAACTTTTGGATCGTGCGGAGGTTTCTGGAGATGAAAACGGTGTCGTTGTCAATGTCGTGGAGGGAGATACTGACGTGAATCAAGGTGATCGTGACTTCGAATGCGTTGAAGTTCACAATGATGTGGCGATGGTGGACGGAGCTGAGGAGGAAGTGACTACGGCTGCTGATGCGAACGGTGGAGATCACGTGCAGGTAGGAAGCGAGTAACAGTGCAATAGTTCTCTAAATTTTTTAAATTGCAGTATTTTTTTTCTCATGCTTAATTTTGTTTAATCATTGAAACTACTATCTTAAATTACAAAAATCTCTTTTTTTGTGCGTGAATTAGTTTCATTCCCAATTAGTCTTAAATTGGTGTATGAAATCGTTAAAGTCCTTAAGTTGACCAGTCGAAGTCATTTTAGTTGTTGAGATTGTGTAATTAAGGATTAAAATTACCCATGTTTTTTTGTCAATTTAGAGATTGAAATAATGCTTGCATTGTTTTTTTTTTTTAATTTCAAGGACCAATTTTCGAAAGTAAATGATTCAGGCGATAATATGGTTAATTTTAGTCTGCTTGTTTTCTTAATCTGTTGTCTCTAATGTGCAGAGTAAAAGTGAGTCTATCTCTGATAAAGATGTGGATAAAAGTGGGGAAATCGAAAATGTTGTTAGTGCAGATGTCTCGGATAACAAAGACATTGTAACTAAGGAAAATCATGATGTGGAAGAAGTCACCGAGAGGAATGAGGTTCCAGTTGATGTTGGTGGCATTTCAGGTACTACAGATGTGAAGGAATATGAACCTGAAGACGCTAGAAATAGTTCAGAGACTGGGCAGATTGAGTCTGCCTCTGGTTTGGCAGAGTCAGAGCATGAGCCTAGTGAGTGCACTGAGGAGAATGAAATTGTTGTTGAAGGTGAATCAGGCAGTAAGTTGGAAAGGTCTGAGCAGGAAACAGGAAGTGAACTAGTTCATAAAGGAGAAAGAACGACAGCCTTAAACATAACAGATGTGAATGGAGATGGTGATGTTGTGTCTGATATTGCAGCGGAGAGTACATCTGAACCTTCTGTTAATGTTTGTGAGATGAAAAACAATGTGGTTGATTGTGATGGTGAACTTAATGTTCATGTACAGGAGATGAAAAATGCTGCAGTAATTAGTGAAGCTGGAACTTCAAATGGTGCAGTGCAGAGTGAAAGTACACCTTCAGCTGTGTCTGAGATGGAAAACAGTACAGAGGAGGTTGAGGCTGAACCTTCAAACTTTGCAGTGGAGGGTGAAGCTAAACCTTCAAATGGTGCAGCGGAGAGGGAAGTTGAACCTTCAAATGGTGCAGTGGAGAGGGAAGTTGAATCTTCAAATGGTGTGGTGGAGAGTGGAACTGGACCTTCGAATGGTGAAGTTGAGAGTGTACCTGAGCCATCAAATGGGGCACTTGAGAGTGTAGCTGAATCTTCAAATGGTGCAGTTGAGGATGAAGCTGAATCTTTAAATGGTGCAGTTGTAAGTGAAGTCAAGACATTAAATGGTGCAGTTGAGATTGTAGCTGAACCTTCAAATGGTACAGTTGAGTTTGTAGCTGTACCTTCCAATGGTGCAGTTGAGGGTGAAGCTGAACCTTCAAACGAGGAAGTTGTGAGTGAAGCTGATTTATCAAATGGTGCAGTTGAAAGTGTAACTGGGCCTTCAAATGGTGCAGTTGATGTTGAAGCTGAATCTTCAGCTGTGAATGAAACTGAGCCATCAAATGGAGCAGTTGAACCTTCAAATGTTGAAGTTGAACCTTCAAATGGTGCAGTTGAGAGTCAAACTGAACCTTCAAATGGTGAAATGGAGAGTGAAGCTGAACCATCAAATGGTTCAGTTGAGAATGAAGCTGAACCTTCGGATAGGGAAGCTGAACCTTCAGATGGTGCAGTGGAGAGAGAAGCAGAACCTTCAAACGGGGTAGCAGAGAGGGAAGCTGAACCTTCAAATGGCGTAGTTGAGAGTGAAGCTGAACCTTCAAATGGTGCAGTGGAGAGAGAACTTGAACCTTCAAATGGTGTACTGGAGAGAGAAGCTGAACCTTCAGATGGTGTGGTTGAGACTGAAGCTGAACCTTCAAATGGTGCAGTGGAGAGAGAATCTGAACCTTCAAATGGATCAGTGGAGAGAGAAGCTAAACCTTCAGATGGTGTAGCTGAGAGTGAAGCAGAACCTGCAAGTGGTGTAGCTGAGAGTGAAGCAGAACCTGCAAATGGTGAAGCGGAGAGTGAAGTTAAACCTTCCAATGGTGTAGTTGAGGGTGAAGCGGAACCTTCAAACGGTGAAGTAGAGAGTGAAGCTAAACCTACAAACGGTGAAGTAGAGAGTGAAGCTAAACCTTCAAACGGTGAAGTAGAGAGTGAAGCTAAACCTTCAAACGGTGAAGTAGAGAGTGAAGCTAAACCTTCAAACGGTGAAGTAGAGAGTGAAGCTAAACCTTCAGACGGTGTAGTTGAGAGTGAAGCTAAACCTTCAGACGGTGTAGTTGAGAGTGAAGCTAAACCTTCAGACGGTGTAGTTGAGAGTGAAGCTAAACCTTCAGACGGTGTAGTTGAGAGTGAAGCTAAACCTTCAGACGGTGTAGTGGAGAGTGAAGCTAAACCTTCAGACGGTGTAGTAGAGAGTGAAAGTGAATCTTCTGTTGATTTGCGTGAGATGAAAAACAATGCAGTGAATAGTGAAGCTGAACTTTCAACTGGTGCACTGAAGAGTGAAACTGAATCTTCTGCTGTATCTGACATTAAAAGGATTCCGTTGGAGAGTGAAGATGAACATTCAAAGGGGGCAGTGGAGAGTGAAAGTACACCTTCAGCTGTGTCTGAGATGGAAAACAGTACAGAGGAGGTTGAGGCTGAACCTTCAAACGGTGAAGTAGAGAGTGAAGCTAAACCTTCAAACGGTGAAGTAGAGAGTGAAGCTAAACCTTCAAACGGTGAAGTAGAGAGTCAAGCTCAACCTGCAGACGGTGCAGTCGAGAGTGAAGCTAAACCTTCAGACGGTGTAGTTGAGAGTGAAGCTAAACCTTCAGACGGTGTAGTTGAGAGTGAAGTCGAACGTGCAAACGGTGTAGTAGAGAGTGAAGCTAAACCTTCAGACGGTGTAGTTGAGAGTGAAGCTAAACCTTCAGACGGTGTAGTTGAGAGTGAAGCTAAACCTTCAGACGGTGTAGTTGAGAGTGAAGCTAAACCTTCAGACGGTGTAGTAGAGAGTGAAAGTGAATCTTCTGTTGATTTGCGTGAGATGAAAAACAATGCAGTGAATAGTGAAGCTGAACTTTCAACTGGTGCACTGAAGAGTGAAACTGAATCTTCTGCTGTATCTGACATTAAAAGGATTCCGTTGGAGAGTGAAGATGAACATTCAAAGGGGGCAGTGGAGAGTGAAGCTCAACCTGTAGTTGAAGGTGAAGGCAGCAATCAAGGAGATGAAGACACAAGACCTGCCTTGGATGCTACTGATGTACAGAATGTGGGTGCAGAGATAGTGAAAAAGCCATTCTTCTATTTGATCAGGGTTCCCAGATATGATGATGATGAAAACATTAAAGAGCAGATTGAAAAAACTCTTCGCCAAGTAGAAGAGAAGACTAAAATTCGAGATTCTATTCGAGCTGAAAGCCAGACTATAAAGGTAAATATTATTTTGAAGTCGGCATAAGAGAAAATTTTGTGTACTGTATAAGTTTGAGACCAACCTTAGTAAATTTTTTTAATGCTGCTATGAGCAGGCCCGTTGTAAGGATTGCGACCAAGAAGTTAAGGCTGCAATAGCAGCCCACAGAGCTGCTCGGGACCAGCTCAAATCCAAACGCCAGGAGATGGATTCGGTTCAATCCAAAATGAACAGATTAAACAATGCAATTTCTGTTGGGGATATAGATGGCAAGGTGTGCTTTTAATTTTCTTCTGGAGATATTTATGAGGATTTGATTGTTCTGCTTGTTTTGTTGTGTTTACTTTTCTAATTTACTGGCAGATAAGAAACATGGAACACATGATTCAGCACGAAACTTTGCCTTTGAATGAAGAAAAGCAATTGATACGCCAAATCAAACAATTGAAGCAGAATCGAGAGGAGCTGTCTTCTAATATGAGAAAGCAGGATCAATCACAACAATCTCTAGACCACAAGGAGGGCAATATTGAAGAGCACTCTAAGGTACCATATACAAGCTTCTCTTTGTTATATTTTCTGAATTAATATCTGATTGCATTTGCCAGGTACTATCGGTATCAAATACGGTTTTTAGAGATTTCTAATATCTTTGTTATATTTCTAATTTGTGATATTTCACTATTTTCAGCATTTACAGCTTCTGAAGAAGGAAATGGAAGTGCTTAGAAATAATGTTCTGAAGTTAGATGCGACAACTAAAGACGCAAAGAAGAAATATAATAATGAATATGATAAGCTGAATGAGTTGATTGCTCAGTTTAAGGCAGCTGATGAAGTTCGTCAAGAGGCATATGCTAAGTCAGTGGCTTTGAAAAAACAATTGCATGAGAAGGTTTTGTTTTTCTATGTTTCCCACCTCATTCCTTTTTCTTTTTTTTTAGATAAAAATCAATTCAAATGCCATGCAGAAATGTTGACGCTATTTCTGTACTGATAATGCAGGGCAAACATTTCTGGGATTACAGAAAGGCTGCAAATAAAGCGCAGGAACTAGCAGCAGTAGGGAAAAAAGAGGAGCTACAATGCTTCTGTGTTGATCAGGTGATTCTTTTAGACATGAAATGAACAGAGAGATTATCATTTTCATTTATGCACTCTATTAGGCAAATAGATTGAATTCAACGCTCACTATTGAGAACTTTAGGTTGAGAGAATTATGGAGCTATGGAACAAAAATGACGATTTCAGAAGGGACTATGTCCGATGCAACACTAGGAGTACACTTAGGAGACTGCAAACCCTAGATGGCCGATCACTTGGTCCTGATGAAGAACCCCCTGTAATTCCTAATGTCATAACTGTAAGAGCTTCCAAAAATATTTCCGTGGTCTCGCAATCAACTCTGGAACAAGAAAAGAAACCCCCCTCAATAGAATCTGTTATTATAAAGGATGAACCTGTTTCGAAGGTTGTAGTGCAAAGAACTGAGACTAGTCAGACAACTAAAGCTAAAAATCCTACCAAACCTTCTCCCTTAGAAAAACCTGTGGCTCACTGGGGTGATGAGTCTGATGAAGAAGTTAAAAAAGAAGAACCTGTGAGAACAAAGGAGGAAGAGGAACTGTTACTGAAGGCTGAAAAGGCAAAGAAGGAGGAAGAGGAGGCAATGTTGAAGGAAAAGCGGAGGCTAGAGGAGATTGAGAAAGCTAAGGAGGCCCAGCAGAGGAAAAAGCGTAATGCAGAGAAGGCTCAACAAAGGGCTGCCTTAAAGGCACAAAAAGAAGCTGAACAGAAAGAGAAGGTAACTATAACATAGCATTTGTGATTTAAAAAGAATATAGGTGGAATCAGAATTTTGTTCATTTCCCTCGTTACGTATCTGAACAGTAGAATGAAAATTTTATTCCTCATTCATTTTAATTCATTGCAATTCCTTCCATTATCCAAAATCAACCTTAATCATTTCCATGTTCTTCTGATTCTTAAACTAAATAACCATATGCGTGTTTGGAGCAGGAAAGGGAGAAGAGGGCAAGGAAGAAGGAAAGAAGAAAGGCAGCTTCTGTTGTCACTGCAGATAATATAGAACAAGAATCTGCTCCTACCTCAGAAATTCTAACAAGAAGTGTGGAAGAACATGATCAGAGTGAGAAACCAACTGAGCTAACAAAAAAGCCGCAGAAACCATCTCAATTCACGAAGCAGACCAAGCCAAAATCTGTACCCCTGGCTCTCCGCAACCGGGGAAAGAGACGAATTCAACCATGGATGTGGGTTCTAATTGCAGTTATAGTTGCTGTTGCCTTGTTTTATGTGGGCAATAGCAGTGTTCTGAGATCTTCACTTCAAGGCTTTGGTTTCTGAAGACACTCCAGAGCAATCACTAGGTGCGCGCGTCGGGGATGTTACCCTTACATATTTATTACATACATACATATATATAGATGCAATTCTTTCTTGCCCTTGCAATTTTTTCCTGCTAGTTTTGGTCTATAGTCATTATTTTCTTCATATTGAGATTTTTGTTTTTTACTTTGGGATGTGTCGTGATTGCCGAATGCTTCTGCCACCAATTATGAGAAAATAATAAATTATTGTGATTGTGCCCTTCCTTTATATAAAATATTTTCGCTGCTATTTATAATGTATTTTTCTTCTAGTTTTATTGTAGCTATTTTATTCAGGTTACCTTTTTGTTTGAATACCATACAGAAATATTGCATTCGTACTCATTCTCCTATGTTTGAATACCATACAGAAATAAAAGAAGTAGCAACTAAAATAAAAAAAATAATGTCTTGAAAAATATAAAGTGGGAAATTTAGGTTTAACAAGTATTTTATCAACTTGTATTTGGTACTATCTTTCATTTATAAATGCTTATTTTTTATTATAAGTTTGTTAATTGATTTATGCTTATCTTTCATTTATAAATGCTTATTTTTTATTATAAGTTTGTTAATTGATTTATGCTTAATGATGGATGAATGAATGATTCATTTTACTTCACTAACTTGAGATTTAATGGGAACCACTTTCAAGTTGTGGTCTAATCAATTTTTTTGTTTATTTCTAGACAATAGAGATAGATTTAGTATAAAAACAAGAGCTACTAAATCTAGTATATAAACAAGAGCTACTAGGTATAGAGGAACTAGGTATAGAGGAACTCGACGTGAGTATAAAAAAAAATAGTTACCAAGTATGAAGGAACTCGACATCCCAAGTACAAAAACAAAAGCTACCTAGTATAGACTTTTGCATATAATTCAACCAAGCCATCTCGATCTTCACCTCAACAATTTCCATTGAAGATTTATTTGAAGATTTTTCCTTGATCTTTTTAGTTCTCACACCTTCATGTTTTTGTTTGTTAGTTTTTGACTGATCTTAGAATACAAGCCAGCCTGACCGACCCGTCTTCACCTGGTCAGGTTCACTTCCTTTTAAAGTAGGCAATTTCAAGAAGGACTATAAATGTGAGGACAAGCAAGTTAAAAGTCATCATCTGATCAAAAATGAACATTAAGTATTTACCCAAACTGGAAACACCCAACAAAATTCGCTTAAAGTTGGCAGCACCTAATTGAACCTACCCAATCTAACAATCTAGCAACACAAGATGGAAGGGCTATTTTTACATGATATCTTTCAAACGAGCTTGATTGAATGACCAATTTACAAGCAAGCCCGACCCAATGATCACCTTATAAGCAAGTTTGCTCGGATGATTAACTTATAAGTAAGTTCGGCCAAATGACCAACTTACGGGCAAGCCTGGTTGAATGACCAACTTATAAGCAAGCTTGGTCAAATGACCAACTTAGAAGCAAGTTCGGTTGAATGACCAACTTACAAGCAACTCAAATGAATGACAAAACGATATATGAGCTTGGTTGAATGCCCATCCCCTACAAGCTTGGTTGAATGACCAAACAACATATGAGCTCGGTTGAATGGCCAATCAACCAACAACCTTTCCGAAAGGCCAAACGATATATGAGTTTGGCCTAATGCTAATCAATTTACAAACTTTGTCAAATTGTCAAATGATATAAGAACTCGACAAAATGGTCAAATCCACCTACAAGCTCAACCGAATGACTAGGCAATATAAAAGTTAGGGTGAATGGTCAATCCACCTAAAAACTCTACAAGTCAGCAAAGCTTGATCATAAGGATGATTAAGAATGTCCCTGAAATTAAATCAAACTTTTAAGACTAAAGAGATTTATGTACATACTCCGTCCAATTCTGTGTGGCGACGTAATCCAATAAAGACCTATTACTAAAATCTCAATTTTATTATATCTTTTAAATAACTATTAAATGTTTTTTTAATAGCATGTCTTTAACATACATATCTCAGCTTTATTATATCTTTTAAATAAGTATTAAATGTTTTTTAACAGCATGTCTTTAACAAACATATTTATTAAAATACACACGGAAAATCATACTTATTTTTTCATATATAAAGATCTTACTCTCTTCCTGATTAAGCATAAAAAAGATAAATCTTCTCTCATTTTTCAACCCTAAGCACATGTCTCAATTCTCCCATTCAATCACCTTCTATAGGTCACACCCTACATTTTAGTTAAAACAATTTTAATTGTTAATAACTATTTATCTAAATTCTATTTTTCTGTATTTAAAAAAAAAATCAAGTCAAATTTCGGTTTCTGAAACTGTACCCTGACAAACTCTCTAACTTAACATTGTGACAGCAGGAAGTTCACAAAGTCAGATTATCTTTATAGGTAAAGACCAAATTCTGGTTATATACTATGAATAGTTCTGTAGGTAATGTTTTTTAATGGTTTATTATCGAAAAAAAAAAACAAAAAAAAAACGTGTGGAAATAAAAATTAAAAGTAATTTCAAAAAAATTATACAAAACTTTATTTTATTTGATCTTCTATTTAAAGGATTTATAGTCTCTATATTATGTCTGAGCAATTCAACCGATTGTATTCAAAGAAATCTAAAACAAACATATTTGATAGGTCAAGTACAAACATAAATAAAATTAATAAAATAGATACTAATGATCACATTCAAATAGTGAATTATGGTTATGTGAATATTTGACTCAACATAAAATAAAATTTTATTATTTATAAATGTATACGTATATTTTAAATTTTATTTTTAGTATATCTTTTACTAGAATTAAATAATAAATTGTATAAAATTTTATTTTATCATAAAATAATTATTAAAATATTTTTTATAAAAACTTAATACATTTATTTCATTTATTAAAATAAAATGATTTTTAAAATAAAATTGATCCAACATAAACTCGTAATTTATATAATTTGATAATTATTTGAGGAAATTTATTTAATAAATTAACTATGTAAGAATTTGACAGCACTCTTAATTTAAAATATTAAAACAATAATTTTATAAATATATTATTTAATTTTCTCATTTTAATGTAATATAATATTTAAACTCATACTTAAATTTTATAATATAATTTATCCAGATTAATCAAAAATCTAAATAATCACCATGTATAACTAACTCAATAAATTAAATGATGAAATATAAAATTAAAATATTTAATTTAAATTAATTAAATTGAATCAAACTCCATCCAAAACAACCATGATCAAACCTACTGACTGCATATCTCTTAAATTGTCGCACATTTGTCCAAAGTTAACCAATGACATTTGGCATTGGTTGTGTGGGGTTGTCTTATGATGCTTGTACGGAGTCTGAGGTGGTAATCAACAACACTCTGTTTTTTATTCATGTATAAATTCAACACGTGTAATCAGGTTTTCATTCAGTTACTTTCACCTCTTCTTACAAATTTCTGTTCAATAAGTTTTGTAATACATATGAAAATAAAAATTATAAATAAAGGTAACTAAAAAATTAATATAGGAAAAAAGAACATTTTACTAAAAAAACATAATGTTATAAAGATTAGTAACTTAATAATTACATGTAATTGTATTTTTTTTAACATATTGATAAATTTATAATTAGTAAAAACTGAATTTAATTACAATAGTGCATAAATGGCCTTTAACGCCTTATGCGTATAAATCACTGAAAATTCAACCTAAAAAATGATAGGTGACATTTTTGTAAATAAAACGTCATTATAGAAGTCGATTCTTTTCGGGTCAGACGTCAAATCCTTTTTTAGACGCCGTGTCCCCCAAATCAGACGTAAAAAAGGTCCGAAAATATCTCATTTTGAGCGCAATATTAATTTTTTTTACGACATAGACGTTAGGCCCTAGATCAAACGTAAAAAATGTTCGAAAATTTCTTATTTTAAGCGTCAATATTAATTTTTTTATGAGATAGACGTCGGGGCCCCCAAATCAAACGTCAAAAAGGTTCGAAAATATCTCATTTTAAGCACCGATATTAATTGGATCTTTTGTAGACATTAGACGTCGAACATAGCAGGGCCAGTGTCTAATACACATTAGACGTCGAATCCCCTTCCCCAAACGTCAATAAGCTGCGAAAATATCCCAAAAGTAGCGTCAAAATGGATCTTTCTACCAATTAGACGTCGGTTCTAGAGGGGGGCCGAACACTTATATTGTTCTCTCTGGCTACTTCATCCGAATGCGAGCCTCACTTACCTGAACACTTATATTCCCTTTTAAACCCCAAACACTAAGAATGCGAGCCTCACTTTCATTCGCGTTTTTGCTTCGTTCGCGTTCGCTAGTTACGCGTTTTCTCTCTGGCTACTTCATCTTCTTCCTCTTCTTTCTCTTGTTTGTCATTAACGTTCAGGTAAGTTTTCTTCCACTTTGCACAGTTTAAAATCATTTGGCACCGATTATATTAAGTTTGGAACCCTTATCTTTAATTTGCACTGATTAAAATTCGTTTTCATTGGCTTTTGATGCAATTCTTGGGTGCATTCTAGGACAACTGCGGCGACGATTTTTGAACTGTTATTGTGCGCGTTTTTCTCCTCACCTCACAGCAGCACCTGTCTACTTCCTCACCTTTACAGCGACCCAAAAATTGACGCATGTTGTTCTTACAACAACAGACCATACGTCAATTAAGGTCTATTATAAATGCAATAGACGTAAATTGACGTCTCTATTTTGTGTTAGTGTTACACTTTGAAGCACTAAATTGTTTTCTTTTTTATTATCCTGAGTTTGATTTTCCATATTTTCAAAAGAGTCAGATGCCTTGTATTGATTGACCCTTTTACAGAGGCTGTGTTTTTGAATGTTTATAATTTCAATAACAAGTAAATTCATGTCTTAAAAGAGAATTTTATTTTAAAATTAACTTTTTTTAATAGAGACTAATATTTCAAAACTTTATCTAAAACTAATATAATTTTATTACAATATAAATATTTTGGTATAGAGTGTTACATCTTTTATGTACGGAGAAATCGAAGATAATTTAGATACATATTTTTTATATTTTAATATAATTTTTAAGAACAAGATTATAATAAAAATTTCAAATATTAGCATATATCAACCTGTTTCTTTGTTTTTAATTCAAAGTTTTCTTTCACAACAATTTTCCTAACAAAATATGGGAGTTACATAAAAAAAAACATTAAACAAATACGCGTATTGAATAGAGAGGAGT